CGTTCCCCCCTACCAATCCAACCAGCGTACCAATCTTAACTCGAGTTAAATTTTGGATATCCACCTATTATTACCAACGCGTGTTGATGGCTAATGTAACTAAATCAACGATGTCGATTAATTAGTTACTCTATTTTCCCCCTTTTTTACAATTTACAACCGCCGACCTCTAACCTAACCAGCCCCCCTACTAACCTCCCCCCTCTTTAGCCCCCCTCTTAAGCCGAAAAATCCCTTAAGCGCCGGGTGCTAAACCTCTCGAGAGAAAACCGTAGACCTGTTTCCAGGCCTGCTTGAGTAAAAACTGCCTCAAAACAATGGGACTCCGCTTATCCAATTTTACACTTATTTCCTATAATGTAATGTGGATTCTAACGTTACCCGTTGTTCGACTTGAGAACACCCCTGTGCGTCCTCTTGTAGTGGTCCTGTGCTGGTTGTCTCTGTTCTGCACTTGACAGCAGAACCACTTTCCCACTCGACTGGTCACCTCTTCCAATCAAGTCTCCTAGTGGTCCGTTTCGATCCTTGTGAACCACTTTCCCACTCGACTGGTCACCCTTTCCAGTCAAGTCTCCTAGTGGTCCGGTTGGGTCGCAATCTATCTGAAAACCCTTAACAACGCCCCCCACTCGGGCACCTTACTGAAGTCACTGGTTTAAATTGCTAGATTGATCGAAACGATCGGTTTTATAAAACAGTATGTGTATACTATTTAATTAATACAAAGGTTTGATCCAACTAATTTGGTATCAAAGTCACTGTCTTTTTTCGTTTTATGGTTTTTGTTCCTTTTTGTATTCTTTTTTGCTCGTGTTTTTGTCCCCCTAGTTGCCCCCCTTCACTCGGTTAGCTAAGCCTCGTTCGGAGAGCGTACCAGGAAGTTTTCTTGAGTTTTCCTAAAAAGCTATCACGGTACAACCGGAAGGTTTACACGTTCCCGCTGAACCGTACCACCGGTACTCTAGAATGGGCATGTAGCCCGGAGCTGTGTCAAGTGGGTTCGACTCCGTAGTCATGATGTCGTAAAAACACCCAGGAGCGCCATAAAAACACTATGTAACATTCGTCTACTGCAGTCACACATGAGGCTTAAGAAAAATAGGCCCTATAACCATTGGCTCAAGAGTCAGGGACACTATCTCTTGTGTTTTTCTACCTCAAGAACGGTCGGAGCCAATTCGGTTCGCTTGCGACATGAGACTGGAACCCGTTACAGCTTAAAGGCCACTACCAAAATACCCCCCCACTCTAGAAATAAAAACGTCCCCATACTTAGGTCTCGAAATACCCAAAATACATGAACGCCGTTAAAAACCGGGTCGGAACAATCCGCTTAGTTACTTTTTATTAGACAGTGGAACTTTGATCCATTTCAGATGAATCAACCTAAAACTCGCCTTATCTCAACATAACTGTCATAAAATACACTCGAGAAATTTAAGTTGAGAACTCACATGTCGATGCACTTGAGTATGATGAGTTACTAAAAGATAAGCAGCTCGAGAATCAAATTATATAACTAAATAAGTTTGATGCTAATTAGTTTTAACCACAGAAGTAACTCTGTCTCAAGAATCAAAGTTTCTGCATGAACCATCGGGACACTTGAGTTGTCCTCTCTTCCATTGAGTGTTCACTCTGTTCCGTTTGAATAATCGTCCTTTCTCAAGTCTGTGTTCTATTCTCCTGTTTTCGGGATAAGACAGCTCTACCCTCTTATTATTTCGTATCGAGAAATTGCGAATAGCAATTTCCTGCCTTTTTCTTGAGTAGTTTCCCGCAATTGTTAATTCGGACGTTCTGATTTTTCACTTTTTGTTTTCAGTTGGTTCGACAAAACTGAGCATGACAGGCTCCATTCGAAATTTTTAAAATTAAAACTTCACTCCAAAATTACGTGTTTCTCAAGGTCAAACCTCCAGACATGACCGTCGCAATAAAAACCAATCACAAATCTTCACCAAAATGCAACAATATAAAAAAAAATATTTTTAAACAAGAAAAAATAATAATAAAACAGAGAAATCAACCCACCTAAAATCCAAAGGAGGCAAATGTCGACCTTCTGTCGAAAAAAATGTCTGGTACCTAACTGCCACGCGTTTTCCTCCCCCCACTAGCGATCTTATGGGGTATCACAAAAACTGTCTATATCCGTTCCCCCCTACCAATCCAACCAGCGTACCAATCTTAACTCGAGTTAAATTTTGGATATCCACCTATTATTACCAACGCGTGTTGATGGCTAATGTAACTAAATCAACGATGTCGATTAATTAGTTACTCTAATTTCCCCCTTTTTTACAATTTACAACCGCCGACCTCTAACCTAACCAGCCCCCCTACTAACCTCCCCCCTCTTTAGCCCCCCTCTTAAGCCGAAAAATCCCTTAAGCGCCGGGTGCTAAACCTCTCGAGAGAAAACCGTAGACCTGTTTCCAGGCCTGCTTGAGTAAAAACTGCCTCAAAACAATGGGACTCCGCTTATCCAATTTTACACTTATTTCCTATAATGTAATGTGGATTCTAACGATACCCGTTGTTCGACTTGAGAACACCCCTGTGCGTCCTCTTGTAGTGGTCCTGTGCTGGTTGTCTCTGTTCTGCACTTGACAGCAGAACCACTTTCCCACTCGACTGGTCACCTCTTCCAATCAAGTCTCCTAGTGGTCCGTTTCGATCCTTGTGAACCACTTTCCCACTCGACTGGTCACCCTTTCCAGTCAAGTCTCCTAGTGGTCCGGTTGGGTCGCAATCTATCTGAAAACCCTTAACAACGCCCCCCACTCGGGCACCTTACTGAAGTCACTGGTTTAAATTGCTAGATTGATCGAAACGATCGGTTTTATAAAACAGTATGTGTATACTATTTAATTAATACAAAGGTTTGATCCAACTAATTTGGTATCAAAGTCACTGTCTTTTTTCGTTTTATGGTTTTTGTTCCTTTTTGTATTCTTTTTTGCTCGTGTTTTTGTCCCCCTAGTTGCCCCCCTTCACTCGGTTAGCTAAGCCTCGTTCGGAGAGCGTACCAGGAAGTTTTCTTGAGTTTTCCTAAAAAGCTATCACGGTACAACCGGAAGGTTTACACGTTCCCGCTGAACCGTACCACCGGTACTCTAGAATGGGCATGTAGCCCGGAGCTGTGTCAAGTGGGTTCGACTCCGTAGTCATGATGTCGTAAAAACACCCAGGAGCGCCATAAAAACACTATGTAACATTCGTCTACTGCAGTCACACATGAGGCTTAAGAAAAATAGGCCCTATAACCATTGGCTCAAGAGTCAGGGACACTATCTCTTGTGTTTTTCTACCTCAAGAACGGTCGGAGCCAATTCGGTTCGCTTGCGACATGAGACTGGAACCCGTTACAGCTTAAAGGCCACTACCAAAATACCCCCCCCACTCTAGAAATAAAAACGTCCCCATACTTAGGTCTCGAAATACCCAAAATACATGAACGCCGTTAAAAACCGGGTCGGAACAATCCGCTTAGTTACTTTTTATTAGACAGTGGAACTTTGATCCATTTCAGATGAATCAACCTAAAACTCGCCTTATCTCAACATAACTGTCATAAAATACACTCGAGAAATTTAAGTTGAGAACTCACATGTCGATGCACTTGAGTATGAGGAGTTACTAAAAGATAAGCAGCTCGAGAATCAAATAATATAACTAAATAAGTTTGATGCTAATTAGTTTTAACCACAGAAGTAAGTTCTGTCTCAAGAATCAAAGTTTCTCCATGAACCATCGGGACACTTGAGTTGTCCTCTCTTCCATTGAGTGTTCACTCTGTTCCGTTTGAATAATCGTCCTTTCTCAAGTCTGTGTTCTATTCTCCTGTTTTCGGGATAAGACAGCTCTACCCTCTTATTATTTCGTATCGAGAAATTGCGAATAGCAATTTCCTGCCTTTTTCTTGAGTAGTTTCCCACAATTGTTAATTCGGACGTTCTGATTTTTCACTTTTTGTTTTCAGTTGGTTCGACAAAACTGAGCATGACAGGCTCCACTCGAAATTTTTAAAATTAAAACTTCACTCCAAAATTACGTGTTTCTCAAGGTCAAACCTCCAGACATGACCGACTGGCACACAGTCTACGGCATCTGCTCAAAAAATTGTGCAAATCTTAAATTTGTTCATTTGAATTTTCAAAGTATTATTAGAAAACGGATGCAATTGAAAAAATTTCTTGATGATATGGGCGAAAATACATTTATAGGAATTTCCGAAACGTGGCTTAAAAAAGAAGATAGTGACAATTTATGGAATCTCCACCCTAGAACGCATGCGATGTTCAGATATGATAGGCAATCAGCGGTAAAAAAGTAGAATGATTCCTTCGCTTTTCATGCTGGTTATAAATTGCTCTGCTTCGGGGGAGCAATAATTGTCAATGTTTGAAGTTTGCGGTCATCTTTTGTCACAGCTATTGTTTTTGAGATTGTCATCTTCTGTTGCATTGTTGTGGTGAATTGTTTCAGTATATCGGAAGCACAACTTCGATATGCCTGCACCAGAATTTCAGCTGAATGATAACTTCTCTCGAGAATGGGGGGATGATTTTGATTATTTGGATTTGTTCTGTTTCTTACGTCGATTTGTTTGCTGTTAGCGCATTTCTGAATTTCGTCTTCGTTTCAATCAGCACTTCATGAGTAATTGGTAGCTAAGATTCCGTCAGTTGTTGTCGCCTCATGACGTGGTTTCACACTTGGGGTGCAAAAAAAGCCTTCACAAGGGATCTACTTGAAAAAAGAAGTATATTTTTCTCTTTCAAAACGTAGCAATCAGAAGGCAAAAACATCAACTATATCGCGCGTAGTTTTTTTTTTATTTTTGGTCATAATTTGAGTATTATTTTGGTATTATTTCGTTTCAATAAATCGAATAAACCTGTCAGAGAAAAATAAGCATGTCAATTATTAAAAATTACACTTCGAATTTGAAGATAATTGAAATTATTCGATACAGTTGAACACATCCTATTTTTTTACCTTTAGTTGTTCTAAGGTATGATAGTTTTCTTTTGAATAATTTTAACATTTTTTGTAAGAACTTTCAAGGTGGCCTATTTTTTCGAAACCCTAGCCCTTTTAATGCAGCTTTTTGTGGTTTTAAAAAAATTTACCTTCATGTAATTTTAGCGCATTTTGTTTTTCTCATTTTTTCTATTTTTTTCTACCTATCTCCGGGCCACATATAATTTCATATTTAGATTGCGATGTAATGCAGCATCAGTAGCACAGAACATTCCAATCACATTCAATAATGGGGAAAAAGTGATGTCCACATTCTCTATCTTAAATGTTTTTCCTTAACTAATTAACTCAGCTTGCTTTACCTTATTGAAATAATCAAACTAACTACATGTCAATGAAGAAGGAGAAACAGTTCAGTTACTGTATAAAAGTCTAATCATCAAAACAGTATTTAGAACGAGAATTTTTGAGGAAAAAGTTGTCAACAGTATTACCAACTAGTTTTTGATTTTTTGGGGCTCAAGCGAGTTTACTTACTTATATTGTGCTCAAAACATTGGCTCTTTGTCTTAGTGGATAGTTTAGGGAAAATTGCTGTTTTAATTGCAGGTTTTCGGCTCTCTAATTAGTATATAACATTTCAATTTTTTCCTTTTTGTGTATCGCAATTGATTTAAAGCTCACACTTCGCCTCTGTGTCCAATCTTTGCGCTCGTAGTAAGGCACGCCTATCACATTTTAGGAACATGCAAAATTGCTAAAACAAAAAAAATCAATGCGTGAAAAATTTTCCATCGGCAAAATCACTTTCAACTGTTTCAGCAGATAGAACAATATGCTTTTTACTATTTGCTCATTTTAAAAGAAAAAAAAACGAAAAAATCAGGAAACGCTGAAATTAATTTTTTTAAGAAAATATGGAAGACGGAAAAGTTATTGTCGAAAAACCGCAAATTTTTGTGGAAAGGACACTTGCAATCATCAAACCAGACGCTGTTTCAAGAGCCAATGAAATTGAGGAGATTATTCTCAGATCTGGTTTCACTCTGCTGCAGAAAAGACGAGTTCACTTGACACCAGAACAGGCTAGTGATTTCTATGCAGAACACTACGGCAAAATGTTTTTCCCAAGTCTGGTCGCATTCATGTCAAGCGGTCCCATCGTTGTCTACTCTTTGGGACGGGAGCATGCAATCCAGCACTGGCGGAAGCTAATTGGTCCCACCAAACCGAAGACTGCAAAGGATGTACAACCCGACTGCATTCGAGCTCTCTACGGGACGGACGATACTAGGAACGCGGTTCATGGAAGCGATACTTTTACTTCCGCTGAGAGGGAAATTAGGTTTATGTTCCCAGAGGCAACAATCGAACCTATTCCCGCCGGCCAGTTTGCAAAAGACTACCTCAGCAGGAATGTCAATCCCGTCTTGCTGAAGGTATGCTTGCTTCTTATTCATCATCGTGTAAAATTTTTGAAATGTCATCACATAAGCGAAAGTCATGAAGTAGATTTCCGCATATCTTCTATTCAAAATTTGATGAATTCTCAAAACATATTTTAACAAGGTGTCTTAAAAACCGTAAAATATTGCTGCTACATATTGTTTAACCTTTGATTAGGTTGATGCTACATTCATATATATTTTTTTGGATAATCCGATTCTTTTTCCTAGCTCGTTCGAAGTCTGGTTTTTTTTCACTTAGCGATGAGCTCATAAGTCTGACGAAAACGCTTTAACACCGAACCGCGTTATAGGGCCCATTGTTTAAAGTGAAAAATGTTTACTTTGGAAGATTAGAACAAACTATTCTCCCAACAAGTCAGACTTACCCAAAAAATGTGTTTTAGGGCTTGACGGAGCTGTGCAAAAACAAACCAGAGGACCCGATCACATGGCTTGCCGACTGGTTGCTAGGGAACAACCCAAATAAACCCAATGTCGATGAACCACTTACTCCCAAGGTGTAGATGCCTCGCCAAATTCCACCTCCTTCGTTCCACAGAACTGATGAATTATTGTACATAATCATTGCATGTTACATTCATGTAAAATCAATTAGAAACGGCTCACTACGTTTTTATAGAATAAAGTCAGTTAGAGATGAGTAATTTACATACGCTCACTAGTTATTCTTCATCTTGGTAAGTTTTTTCTCTTTTTTTTTGTATATGAAAATGCAAAACAATCAAAGTGCTTGGTCTTTTTTTTACTCTTATTGGGAAAAAGTTTTGGAAGGAAATGAATTCAAGCAACTGCTGCAAAAAATTGGAATAAAGTCATGTTTTGACAGTTCTTTCATACACTTTCATTTTAAATTCCGACTTCAAGTTCTTAAGATTGGACTTGTAGTCCCATCGGCTTCATTATTCGGACGAAAAATAACCGTACTATAATTGACTGATCGAAATTCGTTTCAAAATAGCAAAAATCGTTTAAATAAGAAAAGCCGGTTGCTGCACAAGCTTAGGTTTTTCCCGCCACTCTTATTCGCTTGTAAAAACTAAAACTGATATTTTCTTCCTATTTGATAGAGGCTAAAAAAAATAATGACTCAGTTGCGATTTTCAGAATGGTTCATTGCAGCTTGCAACACGTGTTTTTCGCTCTCTGCTGTCGTGATGATCAGTTCTTGTTACCTTTTTTGATTGCAACACCAGAAACTTCACTTTTCCGTATAAAAAAATTGTGTTTAATCTTCCTGTCTTTGACCAGAAAACAAACTAACAAAATTTGATCATGCTGATAACTTTCAGATTACATGCTAATTAGTTCCAGTGACGTGTGATCACATTGTTGAATTATGTCATCCTACAAGAGAGAAAGACGGTCCAGTCAATCTTCTGTTCGTTCTCTGGACAGCACTGCATCTGCACTGGGAACCAAAAGTAGCGCCGAGAGTGCATTCTACGAGGAGTGCCGCACTACATACATGTCCATGTTCAAGTCCACAAATGAAAGGATCAACTCGAAACAACAGTTGTACACTCTACTTAACAGATCCGGGAGGTGTCCATCTAAGGTGAGAACGGTTAACAGCTGTGAGCGGCTGTGGCCGAAAGGGTAAGACGTGCGGCTGCGTTTGCTTTCCACGAAACATCAGGTACCACTAATAATTGTCAGAATGGGTCGATTAATATATCATATAAAAGCTCTTTCAGTTGTAATTCGGACGACATTAAAAATTTTAAAGTTTTTTTTTGTCGAGAAAAAACAGTTTTAAATTTTTGATTTTTGACCTAGTTCCGAGCGAAAGAGCAGGCTTGTTTATGCTTAATTTAAGCCGTTATAATAGCTTATTTGTGCCTTATTTTAGTTCTACTCGAGTTTTGCTTTAGTTTTTGGAGTTTTTTAGCGCCATTTTTTAAATCAAAAACTTCAAGAAATTTGAGTTTTTTTTTTGATTTTTTGTCTGGGTGTCCAGTCATTTTTCTAAAAAAACGGTTTTATATTTTGCTTGCTTTTCTCTGACTGCCGAATAAGCCTAAGAAACTAGACTAATTTGGAAAAACTTTTTTTTTGTATTTCTTAAGACTAAGGTCGGGATGTTCTGTGATACTTGCACAGTAGCCAGCTATCCTTGTTCATGTTTATTTATAGTCCTTCCTTGAAAATGCGAAACAAAAAAAAAACTTTTCAAAAATGATTTTTTTTTTGCAAATGAAACTGGTCAATATTCTCTCCCACAATAGTATGAAGCAACTTGTTGGTTATATTTAAAATCCGTCTAGAATTTTTAAAGCTATGAAAGCGCTCATAAAAAATTTAATGCGTATAAATTTGAAATTAATATCTGTATAATAATAAAAAATATATATTTAATATTGTTTTTTTTTTGAAAATTGCGTTCTTTCATTTTCTGTTTTTCTGCAGATTTCAACTGTGGCTTTTATTTGAAATTATTGGTTCAAACTGTTTAATAGAGAGTCCAGGTTGAAAAAGTTAGCTCAAGAACAATAAAAAAGAAGTATTGATCGGCCTACTTACACTTTGTTTTCATTGAGATTTGACGAATAGGCACCGACGAATTGGTTAGCCAGAAGCAAACCAGCTTTAAGTTTTAGCATCAGGAAAATTTTCAGCAAGAAGACCAAAAATTTCAGCAAGAAAAAGAAAAAAAATTCTGAATTTAGCTGTTCTTTTGTGGGCCGTGGAATGAAATGAAAATGTGAAATGAGATTGGCAGTAATTCTCTTTCATCACTTACCCTGGAAGCGTTTTTCTTGACACAAAAAATGGCTTTCATTTAAAATGATTTAGTCAGAATTACGGCTGAAAAGGCATTAAAAATTCAGCTTGATAAAAACAGGTGTTATGAAAAGTGTGGGATTTGGTTTTGTCTTTTTTGAGACGCTTTGGAAATTTATTTTACTTTTTTTCCCAAAAATTTAAAGTTTTCTCAAAAAAGTTTCACGAGTTTCCATAAAACTGGTTCCAATTGAAAGACCGCTCACTCTTTTGTGTGCCTACACGTTCCCCTTTTCTCTTTTTTATTTTACCCCGATTTCTACTGCCTTTGAATAAGTCTGTGAGGGGAATGTTTTACCGATGTTTTTGGATTTTTCATTTTCTCAAAAACGACCTGCTAAATCACAGATTTTGAATTCAATAAAAAGAACGGGTTCAGGGAAGCTCTCCTGCCTGCTTCAGCGGCTACGCCTAAATGTTTATACACAAAATGTTACGGCCCTCGAAAAAGTCAAACACCTGATTTTTGACCGTTTTTTTTGAAACTTTTCGGCTTCTCTCGAAAACTAACTTTCCAAATCTTAGATTTTTGATTCAATCGAATGAGACGGTTGTGTGAAAAGCTCTATTTGCCTATGCGGCCATTTGCCTAAACGTCAAAAGTTGTGGACCTCGGAGAAGACAAAATTGTGATTTTTTGAAAGTTTTTCAAACTTATTGACTTTTCCCATAAAATACCTTTCCAAGTCTGAGATTTTGAGTTGAAAGGAGAACGATTCAGCAGAAGCTCTCCTGCATCAGCGGCTACGTCTAAATTTTCTTATACGAAAAATGATAGCTCTCGGAAAAACTAAATCTTTGTCTCAAAATCTTTTCCTCAAAAACTACTGTCACAAATCTTATATTTTGCTTTCAATCGAAAAAAATGTCAGAAATTGTTAACAAAATTTTACGGCTCCTGGTAATGTCTTGTTTTTAATTTCTCAGACTAAAATTTGAATCGAAATAACAGGCTGTGAGCTTTTGCGGCATAAATAGGCTTTTTTGTCGAAAAAAGGGTCTGTTATAGAAAAAGCGGCGACACCTTACTTTTTCTTTAAAAAATTTAGTTTTTTTTTGGGAGAAGTCCAATTTCTGAAATTGTTACGTCCTTGGGAAAAGTCATATTTTTCACTAATCTCGAAAAACACCCTGCCAATTCTGAGATTTAGACTTCAACTGAAAAACAGGCCATGGGAATCTTCCGAGCATAAATGGCTCCGCAGCTGCTGGTTGAATCGAAAAACAGAGCTGGGGAACTTTGCGGCAAAATCAGCTCCCCCCAGATTTTTGTAGATAAACTGTTATAATCTTAAGACAATGCAAATTTTGGAGGTTTCGATAGTTTTGTGGAAGTTTTCTTTTCTTAAAAGCTTCCCTGCCACTTCTGAAGTTAATGGTTTTAATGACCGAAAATGGTGCATAGATCTTCTCGGCATAACTGGTTTCATCCTATGTTTTGTAGAAAAGATGGTATGGCCTTAGGAAAAATCTATTTTTCGAAATTTTTAACGGTCAAGGAAAGTTTTCCGTTTTTTCTTGAAAACTGCCCTGTGTAATTCGATTTTGGGTTCAATTAAAAAAAAAACAGGTAGTAGTCGTCTTCTCTAAAGAAAGGAAAAATCCCGTGTTTTATTAGAAGGTTTAGGGTAACGTCAAATTTTTGAATCCTTGAAAATTACTCATTTCATCCCGCATCAGTACAGCATATTCTAAAAACTATCAAACAGGTACCTCTAGCTTTAGCTGGGCCCCTAGTTGTGTGAAAGTAATTTCCTGGGGTTTGTAATACCTTAACTTTCCCCTGAGTATAGAAGCCCTAAAAAGTTTTAAATATACGGACTGCCATTCAACTTCCGCCATTCAAGATTTTTGGAAATTAAAAAAAATTAGCCAAATGTAAATATTTTTGAAATTTTTTGCCTTCTCGAACAAATTTATTTTTCTGACTGATAACGATGACCTTGCCCAGCTCAATATGGAGATTTATAAGGGTGGATCAGTTCACAGGGCTCAAATACATTTTATGGAGCTTTATGGATGAAACCAGTTTGTAAGAGACCCTTCTCATCCGCTTCCCCTGCGGCAAATTAGTCTGAGTAGCAAAAATACAGACTGCTGAGTTTGGACCCACGGTGAATTTTTTCTAGTGAAATTTTTTCGAAATCCAAGTCTCAGCTGGAGAGCCCTAAATATGAAGCCAAACTCGAATTGATCAGTGAGTTCCTAGGAACGAAAAAAAAACATTTTGATAATGATTCTTTCGTTACAATCGGAACATTTACTTTTCGGGATATCCTGATTAAATGAGAAGTTTTCTTTTTTCACCATTTTTCATGTTCCGAGGATTTCATACCTTGAATTGTTGTTTATTTCACTTTTCATTTTATCTGTTTTTTTTAGCGTTCTATGTCGAAATACTGGCCTAGTGACACTGAATATCTAATCTACACACACTTCTGCAAGATAATGCGAGAAGAAGCGAGGCAAGATTACAGAAATACGCTCATCTCTCTTTTCCACTCATTTGACCCGAATAACTCAGGGTCACTGTCAAGGGAGACTCTCGAGTCTATTTTGACGTCAACAGGGGAACCATTTTCACCGGCTGAGCTGGACGAATTGTTCAGGTACGCTAATGTTATCCCACTTTTATCTATTCTGAATTATCTATATTAAAGTATTATTTTTTAAAAATGTTTATTTTAAATAGAACTGTTTTATAAATCCGGACCCTTTTTTTCGTCGCAACATAAGTTTGGTATAACGAGGTATGTTTTTGAAACCCGTTTGCTAAAAAATTGTCCTTGATTTGTTCCATCTAATATCCTAAGTGTAATTGGTCCTTAGCTGTTTCAAGTTTTTGCTCAGTAAAATATTGGTTGCATGTTTGCGATTCTTGCACAGCAACCTTAAAATCATCATATGTAATCGTTGCTCATAAACTTTTTCACGTTTTGTTTCTTTGTTTCAGACTTTTCCAACACACTCGTCGACCCGATGATTCGTACGACTACACCAAAATTAGTTCGAAAATCAACGAAACTTGTAGCGAAACCGCTCGTGCTCACAATATAGTCCAACCCTCAATTTCCAACCGACCCAACAGCGCCCGGAAACGCGTGAACGAAAAGATAGTCGAAAAAATGCGCGCCAAAAACGAACCGAAGGACCTTGCTGTGTGGGACCAAATTCCGCAGTTCGGATTTCTGCGTTATGAAGAGAAAGAACTCGTGAGCACTTCGTTCACTCTATCTCTCTCTTCTTCAAGTGCAGTTTACCTCTCAGCCGAACCGAGAAATGTGATCCACGTCCCGAAGAAAGACTTGGACATTCTTCTGGTTTGCATTAAACTGGATAGTTCTGGAAATTTTACACAGAGTGCTTACATTTCGGATTTGTATGACGGACAGACGTTTTCCCTCAAAGTGGATCTACCACCTGGCTCTTATTCAGTAATTCCGTTCACAATGGGCAGCAGGTTCTTGAGACGGAAGACGCAGCCCAAAACTTGCAATTTTATACAAGTAGGTCATCTTACTTATAAGAAATGCCTACTTCTTATATATATTTCCTTTGAGGGATGATTGCGCGATGAAAAACTTTAAATACTCCTCAAAAACCGAGTTTTGGCGGACAAGCACTTTCTTTCAAAAATTTCGGGAACAAATCGGGTCTTTTCAATGTTACAGAAGAGCTTGACAATTTATTGTGATAAATTGTAGCCTAGTATTTGTGATGAATTATTAAATAGTTTCAGAGAAGGCAAATGGCAAACTCAAATACTGAAACCTTTGACTCCATTGGTATAACAAGTAAAAACGCCAACTCGGGAAACACATATTCTGACGGTAACATCTATCCATCTCTACGTTATCGAGATCAAATTCCAATGAACCCAATTTCCAAAACAAGCGGGGGTGCGCAGTGTTAAGTCCATGTGAAGAAACTGATGATATATCGCACAAAATCCAAGCTGCTGTTAAACAGTGAGTGCATTAGTGCCTCAAATTGTTGAACTCTTGAAAAAAAGTTAATTGCCTCCATTCAACAAGCCGTCAATAATGCTGAAGCTGGAATAAAAGAGGACATAATGAAAAATTTTATGTCCCAGGTGAACCATCAAACGAACTATTGTTATTTGAAGACGTTGTCAGAATCGGAAAAGTTATAAAGCTACAATCGGCGCGACAACATACGAATTTCAGGATTGCGAATGAATGAAACCAGGGAAAGCTACGACGAAACAATTGATAAAGTTAATGATAGAAGCGAAAAGATAGGAGCCAACGTGGCAATTAATGAGTTTTCAATTGCACACGGGTTACCGACGCGAAAGAAAAATATTCGAGAAAAACCAGTGATCGGTCGCTTCAATAGAAGAATTGCCAAACTTAAAAACAAGAAAAAGTTGTCTGGGAACGAGCATACAAGTACCATCAGAATATTCGAAGACCTGAGCCTCCCACGATTAAAGTTTATGCAATTGATTCCGAATGATCAAAGAAATCAGTCAAGCTGGTATAAAGAGGGAACCATATTTGTTCAATGGAAGAATGGTCAACGTGTTGATCGTGTAAATGGGCTGTACGAAGGTAGTGAGTTGCTGGGAGACAGCTATAACGATATGATGAGCTGCTTTCAAAACCGAGTTTTTCGGCAAGAGCAAATTGCACCAGAAACCTAATCAACTATTCACGAAATCCTTTGTGTTTTTGAATTTGAAAGTAGCTAATTCCTCAAACAGTAAAGTTGCTAGCGTTTATCGTTCAAATGTAAGATCTCTACATAAACAGTAAGATGAACTGGAAGCATTGATTGTCAACCTTGAATCTCCACCTGATTTATTATGCCTAAGTGAAACCTGGCGTCATGAAGCCGACGATATTAATTGCTACAAGCTCACTGGTTACAACACTATAGTGAGAAAAAATAGGAGAAAGAACGGAGGAGGGATCTTAGTTCAATGTAACGACAATATTACACTCATTGAAAAATAACCGAGCGAGTTAGCAGAAAGTTTGTTAATTCACGCGAAAGATTCCATGAAACTTTTTAAATCCTCGTTGTTAATAATCCGCCGAAAGCCGATAAGTTTTGCTTCCTTGATGAATTAAATAAGACTCTTGAAGCTTTGTCATTCAAAAACTATCCTGTTATAGCCTGCGCCGATTTCAACATTGATATTTTGAAGGCGAGAAATTTTTCCTCAAAATATCATGATGTCATCGAAAGCAATGGCTTTGAACATCTTATCACCAAATCAACGCGAGTTGCAAATACAAGTGAAACTCTTTTAGATCACTTTATTCCTAAAGACTTGAAAGTCAAATCTGCTCAAGTACGAGATAACTTGTCCTTTTCTGATCATTCTCCGATTACTTTAGAATTTTACTCATCACACTTAAAAGACGAAGATACTGAAACTTACTGTGGCACTAGCTTTGTGAAATCGATACTGAGCGTTAACAGGTTTAATCAGGAGATATCTAAAACGATGCAAACAATTAACTATTCAGAATCATTGGATGATTGCTTTAATTAGTCTGCATCAAAATATAATAGAGAGTTAGATCATTTTGCTCCTTTTAGATCATCAAGTTCGACGAAAAGAAAAGCTAAGTGTACATGGATCACTAATTTTATAAAAATATTGATTGTAAAACGGAATTGGCTACATAAAGCATGGTCAAAAACAAATCACCCCCGACTGCAAGATTTGGATTCGAAATTGCTCCGAAGAAAACTGAGATTGAAATTTAAAAAAGTAAAAACAATAATATTAATATAAATTTCAAAAGTGTATTGGTGACTCAAGGCAGGTCTATAAAAGTTTAAATGAAATTAAGGGCATTGAATGTTGCAATAAAGAAAAAATTACCTCAAAAAAACACAAACGGAGAACTAATCCTGTTTCATCTTGACATTGCAAATGAATTCAATAGATTTTTCTCAACTATCGGTTTCAACCTGTCCAGTGAAATACCACATTCTTACTCAGAACAAATCATTGAGAAACCCAATTTTTGTATGCGTGTCATTTCAGAATTGGAAATCGATAAAAAGTATTAAATCCATGCAGAATAAGACAACTACTAGTTTCGATATTATTAGCAATGTCATTGTAACAGCAAGCAGAGTAGCCATTGTACCCGTACTGAAAATTCTAATAGATAAATTGTTTAAATCAGCGTCCTTCCCCAGCTCTTTGGTCAGAGCTGTAGTTCATTCGCTTTATAAAGAAGGATAAAAGCTCATTTTAGAAAATTACTGTCCAAACTAACTTCTCATAAACTGGAGTAAAGTGTTTGAGCGTGCTATGTACAACAGAGTATACGAATACCTGGAATGTTATTACCTAATCTATGTCAATAGTTGAAATTCCAAAAAAATTATAAAACTTTTGATGCAATTGCAGAAGTTACCGAAAAAATACGCCTGCTTAAGAAAAAAGTCATTAAAGGGAGCTGTTTTTCTTGATTTGAAGAAGGCGTTCGATTTACTTGATAAAAAATTTTCTTTTTAATAAATTAGAAATGCTTGGAATAAGTGGACAGACGTTACTATGGTTCAAATGCTACCTTAAAAATTGTAAGCATTAGTGCAAATTGGAAATTCCAGATCTTCTTGGCTGGAAGTAAATTGCGATGTTCCACATGGTTCGGTTTTGGGACCCCTGTTATTCTTCATATATATCAATAATCTACCCAAATTTTGCACTTTGTGTGGAGCTGTTTTATTTGCAGATGATACAAACATTACAAGTTTAAATTACTCGATTGAAATTTTCAATAATGATTCTAAAGCGGTGAACGAATGGATAAATGTTAACAAATTATCACTAAATACGGATAAAACTGTGTATTTAAACTGATCCTCACTTAATGCTTCCAGTTCTCTCTTATACGTGAGTAATTTACATCTAAAAAGCGTTTTGTGCAAATATTTCGGTGCTCATGTTGGTTCTAAGTTATCATTCAATGTTCACATTAATTACGTGCGGAACAAAGTCAGAAAACAATGCGGGATTGTTTCAAAAATTCGTCATAATTTTCTAAAGTCAATTTTACTTCAAAAATCTAAGTCAATTATTAATCCAGTTTTGCCATACGTAATTCTCGTACATGTTTGCACCAGTTATACTCAACTATTGCCACTTTTGATGATACAGAAAATAAAATTGCGCCTAATTCATATAAACGAAATTATGGTAGCATTCGTTCGTATTTTTGTTCTGAAAAAGATTTAACAGTTCATGAGCTCTATGTCTCCGAACTTCTCAAAGTCTCTGAATTAGTCCCTACTATTTGAAAACCCCATTTGGACTTGTTTACTGGTTACTGCCGCAACAGCACCCAACGTCAAAATGGCCTGCATCCAATTCGATTGGTGTCAGGGAGGCTTTAGAGACAAGGTACAGTTAGTAAAAGCAGTAACCGCTAAGTGAACAAGTTTAAGTTTTTAATTTGAACCGAACAAGGGTGCTACGACTAACGAGTTTCTGAAGATTATACATACAAAATCAGAATTTTTTCTTCAATTTTTAGCCAATTTTGTCAAGTTCATTTATTTAAACCTGCTATCTTTAGGTGTATATCGCCAGGAAATTGTTTTACATACCACTAAAAGGGTCCAGTTTATTGAGCGACGTTTTTTTTATAAGAGTTAAAAGCTAAGTTTTTGTGCAAATTTTGTTCTTCAGAAATTGTATTTAGCCTATGTTAATTCCTCTCTCATGCTTTTGTAATTAAGTTTTTTTCGAATGTCTTCGATTTCAGGTCAGCATCCTCCTGCAATCTAAATGGATTCGTTCGCTGTCTTCTCGGAGTTGCTAAATAATTTGTTTAACTTTTATTTGGTTAATATGCCGTTTTGTAACGAGAAAATAATTCTTCTTCTTAATCCATTTTATAACCCAAAAAAGCTGCTCGAAGCTTCAAAAATAAAAACCGAACTCCGACTCTCGTGAAAATCTAAGTTTTTCACTTGTGTTAATGATGTCTCCGTAGCGCTTACCTAAGAAGACCCTTCTTAGCTCTAACTTTGCCCTTCATTTCTTTTTGCTCTATTTATCGGTATCCGCTTTATTCTGATCAACCCTAACATTTTTCTAACGGAGCTTTTGGTGCCACTTTTAACTTATATTCACGGAGCGCAACTTTGTAGTCCTTTTTTAAAGGTCATCTTGCCGTCAAAACCTTATTTCTCACAACGCTAATTTTTCAAAAATAACGCTTTTTTCTCAAATATCTCGGAAGAGCTTAAAGAGTTCCAAATAGGTGATCTGAAGAAAAATCTGCTTAATTTTTTAACAACCTTAGCAGGGTCTATTTACACAGAACAGGTTCCTAACTTTCAAATTTAAATGTCGATACCAATATCTCCTGAGCTAACACTAACCATCAAACCATCAAGGCCCGCAGCGGCCTAGCACAACTTCGCTCTGGTTACTCCTCCATCTTCAACTCATGGATCAACCCCTTTAACCCAACTACCCCAGAGGAAGGTCCTAAATGCTTCAACTTCCCCCACCAATGACACCAACTACCTCTTTTGGTGAGGTGTTCAACCGATATGGAAGAAACGAAAGTTTTTAAAACACTACCTGGATTGATGGCTTAGTGTTTCACCGAAACGGTCGACGATACCGGAAACACCGGCAGACCTAGTTACTGTCATGTGTCCCTTTTTATCCAGAGGCATCCCCGGGGCTTCAGGGGGGGGGGGGGAGGGGGGTTCTGGACGAGACGAAAATGCAACCTTTTTAAGAACCTTCCTAAGGAGTACTGAACAGCTACCAACACACAGCAAATAATTTTCATACAAACAAATGAAATAATGAACTATGAGTCACCCCATTCTATGCGGTACTTGCCCAAAATAAGCGACGCGCTGCCCAAAATAAGCGACGCGCTGCCCAAAATAAGCGACGCGCTGCCCCAAAGTAGGCAGGAACAACAACATCAAACATTTTTGTGACGGAAAATTGCCAAAGCTAGGGGAAAATTTCAGGGCCATTTGGAATTGCGTACCTCTATTTCTAAATGTTCTAGCAAATTATTGATTTTCCTAGTTTTTCTAGGGACGCCATAGTTATTCGAAACTCAGGTGGGTTGTCATACTGATAGATTCTCGCTAAATTCAGTGTTACGTTTGTGCTCCAACTCCGTAGAATAGTTTCATTTCCTTTTAGAAGGACGACGACAGCAGTCCGGGTGAGTTGTCGGAGGAGTGTAAGGAGGCGATTGAGACCCTGTTTGAACTAGTGGATGTGGACGGAGATGGAGCCATCAGTCGAAGTGAGCTGGACATGTTCCAGATGTGCTGCACTGGCGAGAAGTTCTCATCAGAAGACTGGCAGGTTGTCTCAGTAAGTCACTTCAGTTCATATTTTCTTCTAGAACTCATTTTCTTAATGTGTGTAAAGATGAAAATTTGATCAGAATTTAACATGAGTGTATGAAAAATATTCCAACTGAATGAAATTTATCATCAATTTGGCGAGTTTTTGTTGCCTTTTGCTAAAATAATGGCTTCAATAGCGTAAATATTAGTGAAATGAGAAAGTATTCATGAAAAACGTATTTCGGAAACAGCCTCCCTGTATATCTTATGAGAGTACAAAATTATGTAATTTTATGTGTTTAGGAAATGTGGGAGACTGTGGATGACTGTATCACTCAGAGTGGCTTCAAGGACATGAACAAAATGGAGGCGAAGGAAGATGAGGAGGGTCTGTGGAACAGCTTCACCAAGATGGGCTTCAACCACGCCCTCCAATTGGACCATTGTTGTCCAATCAAATTGAATCTGCATGCAGAGAAGGGTGACGTCATGACAGTCAGTTAGTAGGGGATCCTGAATTCCAACTGGTTACCATAGGACATTTATTTTATCGGCATTGGGATAGTAATCGACAATGTTTGAAACATACTTCAGATTATTGAAAGATACTTACACCACTGGATTCAGCATTAGGTGGGATAGTACTTCTTTGGGGTTTGATCCCATCGTAGCTTTAGAGTATTCTATTTTTGCGAATCAGTTTTGAATTATAAAATGTGTTTTTTTTTGGCGAGCGGTTTGGTTTCCCTTCAAAATGACCATATGTTGTAATCTTTAGTGACATTTTAAAAGTTTGCCTTAAATTGAATATGGTAAAATAGTCTCAAGGGAACCAATAGGGTGATAATGGTGTCTAATTTTTGGGAGGGCATGAAGGGGTGGGTCCACCATCCTGTCCTCCCCCTCACCCCAAGTCAGCCACTGACCTCATCGCCGCAAAAATCTACAAACTGTTTTCAAGTCTTGATAGTTTGTTGCAGTTTTATTACAGTTGTGTTTTTTCATTTTATCAGAGGTTCAAGCAAAGAACATCAGCTTCAAGCAGATTGAGTCTCTTCTGTTTGACCTCACTCAAAAGTCTTCAGACAAGGCAGCCAAAGGAGTCATCCGGACCAAGACTATCGAAGATGTGCACGTGACCACATTCAAGCAAGGCCAGATGGGTTTTATCAGTGTCCAGAACAGTGGGAAAAGTTCCAGGTGATGATCCGATTGTTTTTTGTTTGGATGGCTTAAAACTTATTGATTATGCTATATTCGAATATCAGATTTGAAAAAAAAAGGAAAAAAAGTGCCACGGTGTCGATAAAAATTGGTTGGAATACCTTTGTTTTGGATTTTTTTTTGGTAACTTAAGTGATTGGAACTTTCTCTGCTATTTCCACGTCGATGAGTTTTTCTTTTTGTTCTGCGAATCATCTCATTTTACATCAAATTTTAAGCAATCTTTCATCATTAAAATCGTTATACAAAAATTTTAGGCATTTTTTTAAACATAAAATTCATTTTAGGCAAGTGAGACTTGATTTGTCGAAGAGTTCCAACGTAAATCTTGGGTCTGAGTTCAAAGACATTGTCATTGGTGCCCAGAGCAAGAAGGTAGTCCAACTATTAGTACCACCGGATCCATCCAAAGAGATTGTAGTCAAAATGGCCGCTGAAATTCGATCCTGATGACTGTCAAAATTGTCTTCAAAACTTTAAATCTGAAATTGGATAATTACTTACTATTTGTAAAAACAAATAAACTTAATTGCTTTTCGAAAGAACAAGATATTCCACCTGAGTTTTTTTCTGGACGTTAGTAATGCTCTCTGGATGCTGGAGGTCAAGCTCGTACAATTCATTTATGTTATTGCATTTTATTGGTGTAATTGGCCTGCCTTTTGAAAATTTTGCCTGCTGCGCACAAATTTTGGCCTAAACAGGTACTTTAAATTGTTTTGGAAGAGCTCGGAAAATCAATTTCTTCTACCTAAAAAAAGGTCGAAAATTTTTTGAAAATCCCCCCCCCCCTCGAGAAAATCCTAGATCCGCCACTGAAACCATCTTTTTTGTTTTGGCTACTCTCGAAAGAATATGAATAAACAATGATGTAAATTGGGTTTTTTCAACTACTTCCACATAGCTAAATCTCAAAAGTATCAGTTGCGGTATCAAAACCATTTAAACGTGATTTGGATAAATTAAAGAAAAGTTCGCGGACTTTTCGGACTTTTTTGGACGGAATCTTTGGGACTGAATCTTCAACCTAATTTTGGGGTGTATTTTTATTTTGTTTTTTACTTCTTTTCTGAAGTTTAATCAGCAAATCAGTTCTCTATCACTAACTAAGAAAAAACCAACCTGGAAAAAATTTTTAAATATTATTTAAAAAACCAAACATCATCAAGTTTTGTCAAATTTATCATTTACATTGCAAAATTAAACAGGGTTAGATATGCTATTTGTATCTCAAAATTGAATTTAATTAAATGTTTATTGAAACTTGATAAGTTCTGCTAATAAAAATAGGTCAATATAATAAAGTCAATGTCATCTCTAATAAATTTTCAAAGGTTTGTCGGAAAAGCAGAATAATCAATATTTTAATAGAGATTGACCCTCTGCATGGCGTGATGGTCCAATTCATGCTAAAATCTTTGTTAAAAATAGCGTAGCGAAGGTTCAAAAGTCAAAAAAAGCTTCCGATTTTTTTTTAATTTCCAACATTTATTTTATGTTTTAAAATTTGTTTAATTAGCCGAGCTTCTCATTTGATAATTTTTTTCAAAAATTGAGAAAATGGGTTTTGCTTGCGAGAATTTCAATCAAATTTTTGAAGTCGAAGAATTATTGTTCATTGAAATTTCATAATCGATTTTTTTTTCGGACAAATATATCGCACATTTGTAATCTTTCGGAAAAATCTGAAAACATTCTCTTGATCTCGTTTGAAGAGACTGGTAACTCAAATTGAGTGTTCCTTAAAATCTTTTCCTAAACTTTAGAAAACTTTGAAACAAGGCTCAATTTAAAACACGGATAGCCGTTTACTGTGCAAGTATCGCAGAATGTTCCGACCAGTCTTAGAAAATCACAATAAATTTATTTGTCACTTTAGGGTCGTTTTTTTTGGCTGGGCGTACAAAAGTAGAGCTTAAGCATTTTCGTCAGTCAGTTATTGTAAAATATGCGAATGGTAAATCACTTTTTAAAGACAAACAAAAAGAAAAAAAATTGAAGTTTGTTAATAAGTTTTCAAATTTTTTTTCCAATTTTTTCAGGTTTTTGATTCCTAGATGAAGCTTAAAACTCCAAAGAATATTTTCACTAGAGTAAAACTAAAGTTTTACGCATAAATTAAGCATAAATAAGCTAATATAAGCCTGCTCACTCGCTCGAAATTAGACGAAAAATGAATTTTCAAACAATTTTTTCTCGTCACTGGGAAAACTTTTGTGAAATTTTTATAATGTGGTTCAAATCACGAGTGAAAGGGCTTTAATCTGATACATCACTCAACCCAGTCCGATCATTATTTGTGGTACCTGATTTTGCGTGGAAAACAAAAAAAAACTAAAATACCCGAATGCAAAGATCATCCCCATTTTCAATGGTCGGAACCATAAGAAACAAAAACAAACATAAAAATTCTTAAGTCAACTTTATATCAAAACCAACATTTCATCATCATAAAAAGCTATATGCTCCAAAAAATCTCCACGATTTTTGTCTGTCTAAAGTGGCTGTTGTTTTTCCTCAAATTTTTTTCTTTCTTTGAGATTTTAATTTCACTTCGTCCTAAGAAATACCTAAAGATGAGCATTAAAGATGAGCACTAGAAAATTTTGCTGAACCTTGTTTTGAACTTCGTGTTGCAAAATTCTTCTTTGTACAAGCAAAGAAAAACTAAATTGAAAAATTTTGAATTTAACGATTTTTTTTGGTCATGCACACAGCAAATACAAAAATAGGTCAGTGTTATAATTTAATTCGTTTTAATAGATTCTTGATGAAAGATTGGTTTTCAAAAAATGAAATTAAAATGTCCAGTTAGTTGGATTCAATTTAATTTCGAGCTTTTTTTGCAAGATAGTTTGGTAATCATACTTTCGTCATCATACATAAAACCCTTGAAGTGAGCCATTCCCCGGATTGGTACAGTCAAACCCGACGATGCAAACAAAAGAAGACGTTAACAGTGAATTCGTTACAAAAAGTAGGGTGGGAAAATTCTAGAATTTAAATTTTTCAAAATTTCGATTGGAGCTAGGATCTTTTTCAGAAATGTAAAAACAGCCATTTTGTCCGGAAAGTACAAGAAAAACAGACAACCGGCTTAACGAGACAAAAATCAGTCGAAAGAAATCTCAAAAGAAAAAGGAAGCCTCTTATCTGAGTAAAACTTATCTGAGCGGATCCGTACTATCCCGTACAAGGAAAACCTATCTGAAAAACGAAGCCTCTTGTCCGTGGTAACGGTTATCTGAGGAAAATCAGATGGAAGGAAGGTCCACTGGGATATCCGGAGCCGATCCGTACCCTCCCGTGCCACGAAATAGGGGAGATAACGACCTTATCCTCGGGCGAACATGGAGTTGAAGGCCCGGTGCCAAAAAAACTGTTAGAGACTTTAGTTACATATTTTAGCTACTGTAATGACCTGAACGAATTAATTAACTCCGATATTGTTTAGTATTTTAGAACACGAGTAGTTAGAACAGGAAAAAGTAAATCCATCTCCAATGGAGTTAGTATAGAAATGTCACTAAAAACATAGTAAATGATGGTTTTCTAGTCGTTTTTTTAATAGTAATCACGTAGTCTGGGGATCCGAGGCCGAGCTATGTCGTTATTTTTGCATGTAATCGAAAGCTGATCAAAAGTCGTTTGGCTGATGGCCTAAAAATGGTAACTTTTTACTTAACCCTTAACAGGCCAGAAAAACAACTGGCTAGGTCTAGACGGTTAAAAACGAGTAGAATTGTGGTTACTGGCGTCAGCCAGTAGCAATAGGTTCTTTTTCTACGCTCGGTCACTGTGTAATTTCTGGGCGAATATTACAAAGCTTGCATAAAAATGAAGTAGATAAAATATGTGAAAAAAGAGCAAGTGAGCCATTTCAGTGAGTTTTTGCATGCAAAAGCTGATTTTCTGGCAAAAAAAATTGAATTAGAACAAAAATTGATTTAGTCTTTATTCCTTCAAAGACTTATAAATAGCGGAACATATGGATTTGGATAGATTTTTTAAGCTAAGGCTTGTGATTATTTTAAACCTATTTAAAATTGATCCAATTATCAATCTTAACTTTTATGATTTAAATTACATAATTTTTAAGATGTAAAATCAATCTCATTTTAATATACATATTTTTTTCATACTAGAATCAACCTCAATCCAGTTTTGTCAGTTGAGATTGTATTTATGAACCCAAGTTTAGAATTTCTAATTTTATCATCTTATTTTTTGGGCCGATAAATGGGGGAGTCATCATCAATGTACTTGAGGTCGGCATCTCAAAAATGGTAGTTTTTTTGTCCTTTTCTCGTCATGTCCTTTTAAAATCTCGTTTGAACGGCCAGGTCACATGATCTCATTTAATTAAGAACAGGCACTCCTTAAGAATACACACATAAAGATTTCGAAAGTTTGAGAAAACAACTGGCGAAGTGAAATTTAGCTCTCGCTACCAATTGTGCTTCAGCACTTAAAATTGCTTTTGAAAAGTTTCAGAAGTATCGGAAAAATGCTTTTTACCTCCTGATCATATTTCTTAGTTCTAAAACTCTTTAATTGGGACGCAGGATCTTACGCCATCTGGAATACTTCGAATATAGGACATTGCCGCCTGTGGAATCATATGGACCAAAAAGTTTTTATGCATTCAATCCTCACGAGCTTAAATGCTAAATTTATCTGTTGACGAAATATTATGACTTCCAACGCATTAAAAGATTTCTTGTGGTTATTATGATATAAGTCATTTTTCAAGACATTTGTCCTCGGGGGAAGGACCAAATTTGAAGCTGCTCTGTTTTTATATACGTATACCCGCTGTTGCCCACTCCCCAGTTAATATCAACTTATAATCATGAATTCATGTCTTAGTAATTTTTAGTAATGGTGAAACTAAACTAAAGAGACTCAGAGTACTACGCTTATGCCTCAGGTTTTTCACTTCAATTTCGACAATCGCAAGGAGGTATTTTCTACATACGTTTTAGAGTAGTGGTATCCGCAAGGTCTGCTTGGGTTTTGTCAGCCTAACAAAGGGGGGCCTTGAAACGTCTTCCAGGCAGGAAGGGAAAAGAAAGTGCACTCTGTCTCGATTGGGAACCAAAACAAATTAGCACTTTGTAATCACACTTTCTACGCTATGTTTTCGCCCTAAACACCATACACCCCCCGCCCCCTGATCCAACTCTCTAACTCATTTTGGGCACGCACAATAACCCCTCATGCTGAGGAAACCAGAAAGACAAGTCTGTAAAAGGAAGAATTGACCAAACTGGGAAACTGTGAACAAAAAATGTGTTCCTGAATGGTTTTTGTTATTGTTCATGAGTAGTAAAACAAAGCACAACAACCACCCCCCCCATAAATAAATGAATTCAACCGTTAATACTATGGGAAGAAATATTATTTGAATGAGGGTCTCTAAAATACAAATAAAATTTTATATGGAGATATGAGCGTCAAATTCACAGCAGAAAAGGTAAAGAGTAAAAATAAAATGATTGGCGTTAATCTTTAAGTATAGATCATTCGCCGTGCTGAAGTGTCCGCTTAAAAAAGGGAATAGGCAAATTAAATTTGATTGGCCTAAAAACACCTCAAAAAATCTTCTCGAGTATAATTTGACTTGAAGCAATTTTGACTGAAATTAAGACTGACTGGCTTGACTGATATGAAAAATAATAGCAATAATTGAATTAACCTAATTTCATTATCTTTTTCTACATCACAGAATTGTCGTCGCTGTTTTTGGTATTTGTTTTTATTTGTTTATGTTTATCTTTACCTTTCAAAAGGTTATTTCTCACCACAAGCAATCACACATCACGCGTACCATCGTAAGTTAAAATCATTGAAAAATACTTTACGCTGCACACTTTGTGTATATACCCTGCTATAATAATTTAAAAAGTCTGCAAAGATACCCTCTTTTAGAGCTGGACCTTGGACGCAACGCTGCAAAGAAAACTTTTACATCTAACTTCAAAAATACAGGTACGCTATTACTGACATGATTTTCGATCAAAATTTTCACAAAATTAGCGTGGAGAAAGAATAGATTAAGGTTACAAAAAATGATCGATCACTTATATAACTGGAACAAAACTTCTTCGAAACCGAAGAAACTCTTAAAACTGACGAATGTCTCGAAATTGAGTTAAAATTATCGGATTTGTTGAAAAATGTATTCTCAAGGTTATAACAAATCAATGACTATAATTTTTCAAAATTCAAACTTAATTTGAATATCATCAGAATCCGGTCTTTTGTCTTGCTCGAACAAATTTGAAGTGCCTGAAGGAAGCTAATTTATCATTCAAAACTAGGCCTGACAAACATCGTACAAACTTCAACGGTAAAAAGTTGTTTGCAGTTTTTGAAATAATTCATTGAAAATAATTTGCTTTTTATCTGCTTTTAGATACTGGTTTAACCTTTGTCAACGAGAAAAATCACAAATGTCAATCAATTTTTCCTGGCACGGCGGCAATTCGTCGCAGGCGACAATTGGTCGCAGCCGACAGTTTTTTGCAATTTTAAAAAGCGATAATTGTTCGCAGTGGAATGTGATCAGAATTTTTTGCTTGGTAGTTCCGCGAAACGTTCCATATCCCGCACCCGCTAAGGCATGTTCGTTTGGTTACTGTGCATTGCTAAATCAATTCATTTCAAATTGGTTCCACAACTATGAAGGAAAATTTCTCTGCGACGAGTTGTCGCTTTCTCAAATGCTACGAATTGTCGCCTGTGACCAATTGTCACTTGCGACGAATCGTCGCCTCATAATTTTTCCTAGCTCTATATAGATTTTGATTTTTAAGCTCATCTAGATCTTATGTTTATTTTTAATCAAATGCCTCAACAAAAGCATCAACAAAAGCGTTTTTCGAAACATTTCATTTGAAATAGTCTATTTTGTTACTAGCCCTGAACTTTAAAAAAAATGGTATCGTAAAACTACACCTATTTAGATTTTTTTCGTCAAACGAAAAACAAACGACAAACGACAAAAAAAAATTTTTTCGTTTAAAAAAGTCACACGACGGCAAGAGTTAACAATTTCTTTCCTTCAGTTGCACTTGTTTTCACCAAGAAATAAAGTTCACATAGCCAGGAAAAAATCTACCAGTTTGATTTGAAAGCACTGAAACGCCTAAGTACGTTTTCAATGTTGTCAATGTAAAATGATTTTTTTTGGCATTGAAGTTAAGTTTATATACACGCACTCTTATCGATATTCATGTTAATTAAACTTTTTAACTAGTTCTAACTAAATTTAACTAAAAAACTAAGTTTCTTGATATAAACTCAGCTAAAATAAAACTGCATAGCGCAAGCTTCTGAGAGACCAAATTACAGTATAAGGGTGATAATTTTTTAAAAGTTTTTCTTACCTTAGAAACACTTGAGCGAACAAAGCAGTCCATTAGTTTTTACTGCTCATTTTCAAACAAAAAGTAAATAAGTTTGAAGTAATTCTTACTTGTACAAAAATTTTATGGTTTGTTTAGTTTCAGTCATTTTTGAGGAACCCGCATATTTTTAGACAGCAAAAAAGTTAGTTTTTATTAACTAAGAAGAAAAAAGAGTGCAAAAAATTGGATGAATGCCATGAAAAGAAAATCGTTTTCATAATAGATTAAAATCTCAAAAACTACTATCAAAAAAAATTTCAAATAACTATGTTTTTTAAAATTTTTACATATTACAAAGAGAAAACAATAGAACTGCTCAGAGTTGTTGGAAACTGATTAAGTAGTTTTTTAACATTAGTTTTCTGTTCCGATAGTCATTTCTAATCAACTTCTGCTGGGGAAAATAAAACTTTAGTTAACAGAATTTTTTGCGATTTTGGTTTTTGAGCAGTCATCAAACTAAATGATGTTGTACGCTATACAATTTTGTCATTGATTAAAGCAATAGGTTTTTAAGCCACAATTTTTTAGTACCAATCGTTTCTCTACGTTTTTCACAATATTTTTTTTGGGAATCAACTTCTAAAAAAAATACTACAATTTCAAAAATAGTGCTTTAACTCCGCTTGTGATAATTTGAGTAGTACAAGTTTTTCTACTACCAAGTTTTAGAAGACCATGCCTTGAAAAAAATCGTTTTCATAATAGATTAAAATCTCAAAGACTACTGCATTTGACTTTGAAACTCAAGCCAATGAGTTTCTATCAATGGGGCGTGTTGTTCCCATCGCAATTCCTACAAACGTTCTTTAAAAGATTGGAAGGCATTTTTTCTGACCAATAACTAAATCTTAAATGATAGCAATCGTATTAATGGTGATCTAATGATGCTCTCCGATACGATTCAGATTTGTTTTTCAACTTCATATAACTCATTATGTATATAAATATTGTTTAAAACTAATTTAATTTTGATTTATTTCATTTTTTGAAAGATGGAGTTTTTGTTTTTGGGGTGGTTTGTTTCTCCGAACGAAATTGAGTTTTCCAGCAGCAATTTTTGACAAGTTTTTTTGCAGGATATAAGTTTAAACAACTTCTGTTGTCTTGAGTTTCAATCCGATTAAAAATTTTTATCTGTCATGATTTTGATGATGGTTATGTGGGTTTAAATATTGCCCAATTGGGGTTCTTCACGCTCGATATATTTTGTGCTAATGACGCCTAACAGGAATTTTGATTTGTCTGAACAATTCGCTTCAAATTGAATTAAAGCGTGTCATCTGACCAATTTAAAATTCAAAATCTGCTAAAATTATTTTTGTATAATTTTCAATCCATTTTGGTGATGGTTTTCTCAAAACAAAATGTGAAAAAATTATGTTTTTTTTTCAAAAATTTTACTTTTTTTCAAAACTTCACCATTTTTCTTACAACAAACAGTACGCCATATAACTTAAAAGACAGTCGGAAAATTCTAAGTTTGTTCCTGATACGAGCAGTTCGATTGTTATATGAGCGATACGCTTCTTTTTCAACTCTTGCACAAAAATTTGCTTAAAATGAACCAATTTATTAACTCTTAGCCTACAAAACCGCTTTTAGGACTATGAATTAAAAAAAAACAACTTGTATTTTTGCTGCTAAGAAAGCAAATTAGGGATGCCATTAGCCAGTTTTTATATCGCAGGGGTTAACAAATGTTTGAATTAGGTTTTTATTAGAAAATTTTCCTTTTAAGTTAAAAACAAACTATTTCAGATCAAACTTTTTCGATAAAAGTATCTAAAACCACGTAACTTCAATTATAGTTTTTTTTGGCATCAAAAACAACTTTCAAATAACTATGTAATTTAAAATTTTTACATAATACAAAGAGAAAACAACAGAACTGCTCAGAGTTGTTGGAAACTGCTTAAGTCGTTTTTTAACATTAGTTTTCTGTTCCGATAGTCATTTCTAATCAAATTCTGCTGGGGAAAATAAAACTTTAGTAAACAGAATTTTTTAAGATATTGGTTTTTGAGCAGTCATCAAACTAATTGATGTTGTACGCTATACATTTTTGTCATTGATTAAAGCAATAGGTTGTTAAGCCACAATTTTTTAGTACCAATCGTTTCTCTACGTTTTTCACAATATTTTTTTTGGGTATCAACTTCTAACAAAAATACTACAATTTCAAAAATAGTGCTTTAACTCCGCTTGTGATAATTTGAGTAGTTCAAGTTTTTCTACTACCAAGTTTTAGAAGGCCATGTCTTGAGAAAAATCGTTTTCATAATAGATTAAAATCTCAAAGACTACTGCATTTGACTTTGAAACTCAAGCCAATGAGTTTCTATCAATGGGGCGTGTTGTTCCCATCGCAATTCCTACAAACGTTCTTTAAATGATTGAAAGGCATTTTTTCTGACCGATAACTAAATCTTAAATGATAGCAATTGTATCAATGGTGGCCTAATGATGCTCTCCCATACAATTCAGATATGTTTTTTAACTTCATATAATTAATTATGCATGTAAATATTGTTTAAAACTAATTTATTTTTGTTTTTTTTTTCAATTTTTGAAAGTTGGAGTTTTTGTTTTCGGGGTGGTTTGTTTCTCCGAACGAAATTGAGTTTTCAAGCAGCAATTTTTGACAAGTTGTTTTTGCAGGATACGAGTTTAAACAATTTCTGTTGTCTTGAGTTCAAATCCATTGAAAGTTTTCATCTGCGATGATTTTGATGATGGTTATGTGGGTTTAAATATTGCCCAAGTGGGGTTCTTCACGCTCGATATGTTTTGTGCTAATGACGCCTAAAAGGATTTTGATTCGTCTGAACAATTCGCTTCAAATTGAATTAAAGCATGTCATTTGACCAATTTAAAATTCAAAATCTGCTAAATTTATTTTTGTATAATTTTTAAACCATTTTGGTGATGGTTTTCTCAAAACAAAATCTGAAAAAATTAAAGTATTTTTTTTCAAAAATTTTACTTTTTTTTCAAAACTTCCCCATTTTTCTTAAAACAAACAGTACGCCATATAACTTGAAAGACAGTCGGAAAATTCTAAGTTTGTTCCTGCTACGAGCAGTTCGATTGTTATATGAGCGATACGCTTCTTTTTCAACTCTTGCACAAAAATTTGCCTAAAATGAACCAATTTATTAACTCTTAGCCTACAAAACCGCTTATAAGACTAGGAATTAAAAAAAACAGCTTATATTTTCGCTGCTAAAAAAGCAAATAAGGGATACCATTAGCCAGTTTTTATATCGCAGGGTTTAACAAATGTTTGAATTAGATTATTATTAGAAAATTTTCCTTTTAAGTTAAAAACAAACTGTTTCAGATCAATCTTTTTCAATAAAAGTATCTAAGACCACGTAACTTCAATTATAGTTTTTTATGGCATCAAAAACAACTTTCAAATAACTATGTTATTTAAAATTTTTACATAATACAAAGAGAAAACAATAGAACTGCTCAGAGTTGTTGGAAACTGCTTAAGTAGTTTTTTAACATTAGTTTTCTGTTCCGATAGTCATTTCTAAACAAATTCTGCTGTGGAAAAAAAACTTTAGTAAA